GTTTGTTTTAAGATGTGGTGGTGAATTAAGTTTACCTATTAAATCACTGAACCATCTTCAAAATCCTGGGAAGAAGCTGTCCAAAACTGAACTCAAAACCTATGCAAGCGCTGTAGCTAATAAGGTAAATTTTAATATTTATTTGTTAAATGTATGCCCTTGTTTTTCAGTGTTTGATTAAAATATTGCTCTATGCTTACATTGGGGAAAAAATGTATTCACTTATAATAAAGCAATTTGAGTGTGTTGAAGGCAAAAAATATAATTAAAGGCTTCTTTTTGCCTCTGCATGAGATACTAGATATTGCATGGTCATAAATTATGCAATTTTGCAATATAAAGAGTTGATTGGTTTTTTAAATGGTTCAAATTTTTGGTTCAGTTTTCCGTATTTTTTGTATTTGGTAATTGTTTGTACACAGGTCCCTCATCACAATATGTCTTTTAACGCCAACATAATGTCAATGGCTGCCAAATGTCTGAAATCAGATGGCTTCAAGTACCAGTACCAGTACCAGTAAATAGATTTATTTTATTATTAGAAAGGAATACAAATTTATTTTGCAATTTTAGAGCTGCAGTAAGCGTTATATAAAAAAAAAAATACATTTTTTTAAGAGATAGTTTCCCTAAATGCTAACAGCCAAACATTTATATTCATTTCTATGGTGTAAATATAAATATATATTTAAAGTATTCAGTCATCATTGTTTATTATTTGCACTCTAGAGGGCCCTGCAAACATAATATTTGATGTAAAACATTTAAGACGTTGTTGTGTTCTTTAACTTTTAGATCACATGCTCGAAACATATAGAAAACATTGATGTAGATACAGCTCAGATTCACTTTAAGATTAATTCATCAGAATTTGTCCAGGTAAGGTAACATTCAAAAGTTCAACAGAATAATTTTTTTTAAATTTGAAATCTGACCTAGGCTATAAAGAATAAAGAAGATGACTATAAAGCAATTGTTATAAATTGAATCATTGCTAAATGAAAGTGTTCTCACTTTAGATTAATGTCATTCAAAAATGGCCTTCAAGCCATTTTCTATATGTGACAGGTTTCCATGAAACCTGGACAAAGTAAATATTTGGAGAACAAAATTCAATTGCTGTATATCAATTGGAAACTATTAAACCCAATAAATTATACATCAATCTAAAATCTATGCACATACTGGCTGAAAATTGCTCAAATTGGAGATGCATTTAGCGTTCCTGATGATGATGATGATGAATTTTGAATATGAAAGAAACATATTAATATTTTTGTACTTTGTCTGGTTACACATGCTTTAGATCTATAATATTGCTTATTAATATGTTTTTCTCTATTTCACTGTTAGTGTGTCCTTGGTGATATCAACTCGTTGGGGACACTGTATGGAATTCCAAGATGTAATGCACCAAAGAAAGAGGTGGTTATTGAGTACAGGTAAAATAAATTGATTTATTATACAGTGTTGCTTGATTAAGATGATCAAAAACAATATAGTATAGTCAAGTTAATATCCTGAACATGATAATAATTATCTTTTCATATTAATAAAACCAAGGAGGTTAAAATTTTAACCTCCTTGATAAAACTAACTTCAACAAGACTATGTCTAAATCACACAACCTCGATGAAAAATGATTCCTAAATTGATATATTATTGTTTTTATTGTAATGTATTAACAAATAAAAATAAAATAAAAAATTTAAATGAAAATAAAATAATTTAATTATTTAAATAATAATATTAATAATAATAATAATAATTTGAATAAAATATAATTTATTCAATATTTTTTTTTCTCATTTAGTTCACCAAACATTGCAAAGCCTTTTCATGCAGGTCATCTGAGGTCAACAGTCATAGGTCACTTTTTAAGAAATTTACACTCATTATTAGGACATCATGTGACTAGCATAAATTATCTTGGCGACTGGGGAGTACAATTTGGTAAGATTTTTTAAAAACCGTTGTATGCCCATATTAGTCATGATGTGCCCATATATGGTCATGATGTGATGTCATCATGACCATATTTAGGCATGTTGCATGTTTTTGTCAAATAAAATTTTATTTGACAAAATGATGATAAAAATTATAATAAATAAAAATAATAAATTTATTGCACCTCGTATCTAAACTACCAATTGTATCATAAGAATCTGGTAATGTGAGTACATCACTATTGCTGTTTCATAAAAGAAGTGGAGATGAGAGGAAAAGAAAGTTGTATACATAGATGGGGCATGATTATATTTCTGCGATTTGATATATTTGACCTCGCCAGGTTTACAGGTCACCATCTGGCTTCAGTGGCGTACTGTATTTAGGAGTTATGAAATTGGGGAGGGGAGATGATGGGGGTGTAAAGGTGGAATAAGGGAGCTCGATGATAAAGTGTAGGGGAATACTGTATGCTCACAAAATAAGTTGATAAGTGTGATTTCTTTACTTCAAACATTTTCAATGGGGACATGACTGGGGCTAGCATGTGTTTTATAGATGGGGGGGGGGGCTGGGGAAGGAAACATGCGCACCCCTAAATACGATGCTGTTGGGAGTCAGCTTAGTTAGTCCATTTCATACACCACCGAATCCCCTCGTTGGTATGAACTGGTTACTGCCCTGTGAATGTGTACTAAAAATAAAATATACTAACCCTTGAATTTTTAGGTATTTTAGCAGCAGGACTGAAGAGTTTAAATAAAAGCTCATCTAGCTTATCAACAAGGGAACTCTTTGATGTATATGTAAAAGCTAACCAAGAGGCAGAACTCAACTCGGAGTTCAAAACACAAGCAAGAGAGATCTTCAAAGACATGGAAGATGGAGATGATAGCATCTTACACACTTGGCAAAAGATTCGTGACCAGAGCATAAATGAATACTCTCATACATATAAGGTACAACAGGTTTACTATAGTGGAGATGTAGCTTGATGATCAGGAAGTTTGTCTTTTAATCCCAGGATTCTGGGTTCAAATCCTTTGAAAGAACAGAATCTTTTCTTATGGCTGAAAATTTAAGATTATTCAAGGTTTAACTTACTTTGGCAATATAATCATGATTATACTAGTCCGCTGGAGGTGAGGATCACTAGGCGTTTCTTAGCCGCTTGGTGGTATATCAAGCCTTTAAATCAAAAACCTTCACGACCTGCAACTCGATCTTGCCTAGTGATTTGAAACCAAGAAGAGGCTATGCATAACCATCTCCATTGCCTAAGCCTCCTGTTGAGGCATTTATGTAAGATACACCAATCTTGATTTCTTATATATATAATTATAACATATAATTATATTTTTGTTGTTGGGCTTTTCTGATTTTTTTTTCTTGTGCTGTGTTAGTCTTGTACGCAGATGGCTGTAGCTAAATATTGGTACAATTGTTTTATTGTTTTAATTAATGGTATTTATATCTATATTTGGCAGCGTTTGGGAATTCATTTTGATGAATATTCCGGAGAATCTATGTATACACGATCAGCTCAAGAACTTATTAATCACCTACACCAGGAAAAGATTCTTCAAAAAGCCGTGTAAGTTCTGTTTTGTGTTTCTACATTTGGCGGGGTGTTTAACCAGACATAGTCTTGTTTATCTTTCAGCACATTAATTTAGTCAATGATTATATGATAATGTTGACAATGAAACACATATTTCATATGAGTCTACAAACTGGTAATCAAATTGTTCAATATTTTTTTTTATTTATAAATCTACAGCAATGGAACAGACATAATTGACCTTTCACCCAATAGCACCGTGACAAATTATGCCACCCTTACAAGGAGTGATGGAACATCGATGTACATCACGCGTGACCTTGCTGCTGCAATTGATCGATTCAAGCGTTACCAGTTTGATAATATGTATTATGTTGTTGACAAAAGTCAGACTGATCACTTTTCAAAGTTGTTCCAGACAATTAGTAAAATTGGATATGATTGGTCAAATAGGTAATGTCATAATAATATACCAATATTTGTGGCAAAGACAAGCCAAACCAGTCAATCGTCGCAAAATCAATTGAGTTATTAATACAGTAAAATAAGAACTATGAAATGGTAAAAAAATAATTAAAATCGGATGTTTCCTTATAAGGTTACAAGTGTTTAAACATACGGATGTTTAAAAAGAACAGCATATGAAAAATCAACCTTTAAAGTTTGCGATTTTGGGCATTTCTCATGCAGAAACTGTCATCAAATCCTTAAAATGTGTTGTTTTAACATTGAAAATGGGGAAAATAACAGCATAGCATCATGTGTAAATGTATAATGGTTAGTTTAGTGCAATAAAATAGATTTTTTAAAATTTGACATTCCAGCATGTTTTGGCCACTTTCTCTGAAACACAATTTGCGATGAGTGACTGGTTTGGCTTGTATTTGCCATATTTAGATATTATGCGAACCTATTGCAAGGCTCAGAAATTTTCCCCTAATCATTAGGTACTGTGCAATTGTTATTGTTTTTGAAGATTTATCTAGCACACATATCCAAGTATTGAAGAACTGCCCAAAGCACTTTTTTCCCCTGGTCATTGGATACAGAATCAATCATTCACAACCTGCAACGGTCCTCTGCAACCTGTGGAGTATTCTAATTATGCGTGTAATCAGCACTACTAATTTCATTCCGAATCATTCACCTCTTACCCATTTATACCCAGGTGAAATGCACATTGAGGGATTGAACTGCAAACCTCAAGTTTAAGGAGCAGAACCGCAACCACTGCGCCAAGAACCGCAGTGATCCTATTATGTGATTGATTAAAATTTGTTGTTTTACTTTTCAAAGGTGCAAACATGTTTCGTTTGGACGAGTTCTTGGTATGAGCACCCGTAAAGGCAATGTGGTTTTCTTAGAGGATATCATAGAAGAGGCTAAAGCCAAGATGCTGGAAAATATGAGAGCATCAAAAAGTAAGCTATATCAATGTAATTTTTTTTAATGGGCAACACAAATTTGAGAGAACTTTGACGGCTATGCAAACAGAGAAAGAGAGAGAAGATATATTTCATAGCATTTATATCCATTATTGCCAGTGCATGGCCTATGATTTACAAATACTACTATACAGAAAGGAATGAGAGATAGGTAAATCCATGAAGATGGTCAAAACCAGATATATGGTAGATGGGCCCAGTAGTGTATCTAGGAGTCGTTGAAATTGGGGAGGGGGAGGGCCTGATGCAGCAAATGTGTAATAGGGGGCCTTGATGATTGAGTGAGGGTGTGCTAGGCTGCAGAATAAGGTGATATTACTTCTTGCGTGACATTTTTCTATGGGGTCGGGGCACAAACCCTTTTGCACACCCCTAGATGCGCCACTGGAAGAGACAATTTAAAATAGAACTTCAAAATATTTCAATGGTTGATACACATCCTAATCAAAACCTAAAACTACAAGATTGCTTCTCCAAGGGAAGTTGTGTGTTAAAGCATTAAAAAACTGTGTTGAACATCATGAACAAGAAAATATATTTATTATTTAACATCAATATTCATATTTTAGCAACAAAGAGTTTTGATAGTATAGATGAAGAAGAAAATGTTGCTGAAACCCTAGGCCTGTCTGCAATTATTGTCCAGGATTTGAAGGCTAGACTCTCATCAGATTACACTTTCGAATGGGACAGGGCCTTTCAAAGCCAGGGTGATACTGGAGTTTTCCTGCAGTACACCCATGCAAGACTCAGTAGGTGAGTGGCATTAAAGATACTACTGTTGTGGTTTTTCCACATTTCATCTACTTTGCATATAGCATGCCAAACTCTTTATATACACACAAATATTGATACCAACTTTTCTTTTAGTTCTCAAACATCTCTTCAAATGGTGGCCTAAATTATCAATCATCCCTCAATCATCTTACTTTGACATAAAGCAGTTGTATGCCCATAGTGTATATGTCATGAAATGGCCAATGGTAACCACCGTAGCAGCAGAGTTGCAAGTTAAGAATTCCCACAAGACGTTTGAGAATCAGAATTTATGAATATTTGCAGGTTTTTGCATTTTATAAAAGAAGATATACTGAAGAAAATTTCTGCATATTATTAATCACTTAATCTAATTAATAAGTATATTATTATTATTATTATTATTATTATTATTATATCTGAAATACAAATTTATAATAATACGATATTTATTTTGGAATTTTTGGAAGCTGTTTTCTGAAAACCTACATGGCTGACATCCAGTGAATTAAATATTCATAACTTCGCTAATACTCAACCAATCTCCATCAAATAAACACAGGATTGAAGAAGAATTCTTGCAGAATCCAAAAACACTCAATTTTGAATTTTTACTACAAACAGCTAGTTTTGCCAGAGCCGGTCACACGAGGTCATGATATGATGTCATCATAACCCTGTTTAAGCATGTGAAATAATTTTGTTGAATACAATTTGATAATGGTAATGGTAATGATAGTATGGGCAGGACTTAAGACAGCTGCCCCTGGGCATCAATTTCATCATGCACATTAAAATACAATGTGTGCTAAAAAAAAACTTGATAAACCACATCTCCCAGATAGTGCTTCAAAGTATTGGACTCCTGGTTTGCTGCCCTCAAACTCTTGTCAGAATATATTTTATCTTAATTTGTATTTCACAGTATACACAGATTGAGTGGTGTCTCATTGAATCCAGAAGCTGATACCAATCTTCTCCTGGAGGAAGAGGCTATTAAACTTGTACATCATCTTGCTTTGTTTGAGGGTGCTATTCACACTGCATACACTGAACTAGAACCAAGGCATATAGTTCATTACTTATTCAAGCTCTGGTGAGTTGTAAAAGTTGAGATTGGGTTAATTCTAAAATTGTGTTATATCTTTTAAAACTATTAAATATATACATTTTAATTTTTGAATTTGTATTGTGAATTTATTAAAATTTGTAAAAGAAAATACCACTTTTACGGTGTCACTATTATTTCCAGTCCTCTTTTAAGACAGCAGTTTGGTGTCTAGGATTCTTGAAATGCGAGTCTCCCAACTCCACCTTCACATGCCATATCAGCCCCACACCCCCTCGGAGTGGGTGTGGGGCTGATATGGCATGTGAAGGTGGAGTTGGGAGACCTCGATGATTAAGTGAGGGGTGAGCGATAGGTCACAAAGTAAGGTGATTTTTAACTGCTTGAGCGTGATATATTTGCTTTGGGTGGGGGGTGGGGGGTGCAAACTTATTTGGGAGGCTTGTGCCCCCCCTCCAACTTACCCCTAGATATGCCACTGATTCAGAGTCTCTTGTGGAATAAACAATTTCTTTTACTTCATATTAATCTCACTATTACATACTATTTTCACATGCATGTGCTGGATACATGCATAGCATACTGATTAATGTGGATGTCACTAATTTCGTTGTTTACAGTCACTTGATTTCAGCAGCCAACAGAGCGTTACAGGTCAAAGGTGCTCCTAGGGAAATCTCTGAGGTAACTATATCAGCTAATGCTATTGTAAATAGTGAATATGATTATCCAATGGTGTTCTCATGCACTTGCAAGTATCAGGAATTTTAAAGGCCATGGATGAGTTCTTGATCCAGACTATCAAATGTTACTTGCATGTGACATGCCTAAATACGGTCATGATGACATCATATCATGAATGTATATGAGGCTTGCCATCCAAAAAACAGCATCAGTGACAAAAAAAAATAATGAAAATCAACATTTTTTTAACATGTTATTATTCTCCACATTGTATGCTTTAAAATGATGGGTCATTGACTGGGATAAAATTATGGGTCATTGACAGTTTTCTGTCTACAAAACTTTGATAGTGTAGATAGAGCATAAGTGAGATCACATGTATTACCACGGCAAACACAAGGAATTTGACTACAGGATGTTTATATTTTAACATAGGAATAGAATGATAAATGTAGCCTCAATATTAGATATAGTTTAGTGCAGTTGAATACCTTGGTGGTTCAGATGCTTGTCCTCCGATCCCAGAGTCCTGGCTTCAATTCCATGTCATGGTAACAGGATTATTTTTCCCTACCGACCAAAAGCAACTCCAATCCCTAAGCCTCTTGTGTAGCATCTTGTGTTTATGTTGATCTTGTGAAGGCATATGCCACTTAAAAAAGTTATTAAATTTCCTGTATGTCATATTCTAGGTCTTAGGCTTAAAATAATTAATGAAATGAAATATAAATTCTAGAACACTTCTTCTAGTACGTATTATTTTGTTTAAGCCTTGCATTTTCAGGTGAATGCAGTTTCTCGTTAAATTTATTCTGTTTACTTTCAGGCTAGACTTCTTTTATTGAATTACTCTCAGCAATGTCTTTGTCGTGCTATGGAAATTCTTGGCTTACGACCTCTTTACCGGATGTAGATTACGCTTGAAGATAAAGATAGAATAACTCATAACTTGCAGACTAGCTGTGCTGAATTGCATGTGCGTGTGGTCCGTGACCACTTTAGCAGCCGTATACAGGCACTTAGTTCACATCATTTCACGATGACAGGGGCTGAAGTGAACCATAGCATCGCAGGATTCCTTTACTGTTCCCTTTTCAGTACTTTTCTGAGAAGACTTGGTTCTACCAGCCTAGCTCTAGACAAGGAGAGGTTCGTACCAACGCCAATAATATTGGCTGTAGCTGGCGGTGCCCCTGCCTTATCGCTCTGCCATTCGACTCGCCATGATTAAATGGAATCCAAGTAAACGTCTTGATGAATAAAGCCTTCGTCTATTAAGACCATTTCTGCAGATGTTGTAGACTAAAACTTCATCTGATGCAGTGACGATCTTATGTCTTAGTTCTAACCACTTCAGTAGAGGTACAGTAGGCATCTTTTGAAGAGGTTTGTTTCACTAGTTAATGCCTTGATCTAGATCTAATCAAATCACCATTATGTCAAGAATTTCAGATTTTTGAAAAAGTTGTCACTCTCTAGTGAAACAACATATTCCTTATATTGGTTTATATATTTTACCAATTAGTAATCAATAATAGATTATTGTGTTATCTTATGTTTTAAAATAAAAGATGACCTTTAACTGCATTTAAGGTAAAAACGAATTGAAGAAATTTGTTGCCGTTTTATACATTAATGTTCTAATTTTAATCCAACAACAATTTACACTGATCAATTTTTTATTTTAAAAAATATGAAATCTTGTACAAGGATATTGACGATATGCTGACAAAGAAAAATCTACAAGGCTGCAATCACTTTTTTTTTTTTGGTCATGAAAAATCTCAACCACATTTTTTAGGCATGTAAAATGGATAATAAAGTTAACAATATCAATAGTTTTAAATCATTATAATTTCCAATGACAGCGGCTCCCCGTCCCCTTTTGGAACGCAAGAAGAAAAGAAAAAAGAAAGATAGAAAAAGAAATATTGATCGCCCAAAACGTCTCTGAGTTTATTTTCTGGCATCCAGAAAACAACAATTTTGCAGGAGCATTCCCCGGACCATGTAGTGTAGTGGATTTTCCCCACTTTCGGCACCCCCTTACGGACATCTCTGGATCCTCCCTGTACAGTTCTATACTCGTTCATCCATTATAAAGTTGAAATCGTTCTAAATAATGGACTGTGTTTACATGTATTATTCATGTACAGTATTATTAGAGACCAAAGCTGCTACAGACCCTGGAAACCCCGGTCCCTAAAGTGGTCTTTAATTGGAGGGAGATCTGTATATTTCTCTGTGTGTGACTATTATTGGGTCCTTGGCAATGCCAACTCGTTGGGAAAATGTATAGGATTTTAAGATGCAGTTTACTGAAGTATGAGGTGGTTATTGAATACAGATAGAATTATATTGATTTTGACAATAACGTGTTGCGTAATTGACTTCTTCAGAAAACAAGACAATGTATCAAGTTAATATGTAGAACAAATCTATAATTTAAATTTATCAGACAGTGTTTATCGACTACCTGCCAATGTGGTGAAGCGTGTGGGGTTTTTAAAACCACACTTCTATGCTATATTTTTCTTCGTTGCTGAATCTTGAAGCTAAAGCATTTCAACTCTTTACAGCATCTATTTACCTTATATTTTTGACCTTGTATAAATAATAATTATATCTAGGCCCATATCTCGAACAAGTCAATAAATTAAATGTGTCAGACAAACAACATTGTGTTTATCAACTGAAGTGACTAAATTTTTGATCGATTTTTTCTCTTTCTATTTTTATAAAACCAGACCTCTATGTTGATTTTAACGTTCCAATTGGTAAATGGGTTGATAACGTATCAGGTATAACTTTACTCGAATTCGAATTCAAAACAAATAATAGTGGAGTTGAATAGCTTGGTATTTAAGGTGCTTGCCTTCCAATCCCAGGGTTCTGGGTACAATTCCTGGCACGGTAACAACTCCGCTCTTTAAGTCTTATAATAAGACTTAGTTTACGTAGAGAATCTTGTGTTTATGATTGTTTTGTGAAGGGGTATGCAACTTTGAATAGTGATTAATTTCAGTCTTGGCATATACTGGGCCTTCGGCCTAAAACCAGCTAATTAAAAAAAAAGGGAAAAAAAACAATAATAATAATAATTTAGTAAAAACAAGTAACATGGAACTGTTGTATTTCTTTATTAATAGTACAGCAGTCACTAAGTGATACTATTATATTAATAATTATTCATGTTGTTGGTTGTTGAAGGAGGATGACAAAATGTTGTTAACTATGTTGACGTTTATTGACGGTTGCTGAAGCCCTATTACAGGTCTCAAATGTACTTTACGGAAGTACAGTATCATACTACGCATCTGGACTTGAATGTCCGTCGTCTGTTCAGTGTAACCTCACAAGTAAAAAATACAGGGTGGAATCTACCCCTCCAAATTCCCAACCATCCTCAGAGCCCTACAGTATTCTATAGTTTGATTATCAAGACGCAATGTTTATGACTGTTGCGTTCATTCTCAGTGGACCTTTCCACTAAACCCCGCCCATTGGGTATTGTACCTAAGGTCTCGCAAAACGACAGTGTAAAAACATGTGTGTTTGAAAGACGTATTTCTGGCCCTGTTCTGATTGGTCAGTTGTTAATTTGATTGACACTACGGAAAGGTATTGAATATTTATGTCTAGAGTTAGGGCTCGGCTTAGCATATTTCTTTTTATGCACAGTATATTCTTAAGATGGTGTATTTCGTAATTTTGCATAGGCCTAGATGTACAATTCCGAAATAAAAATGAATAAATGAAATGAAAATCAAGGCTTATATTCAAAGTACGCCGACGCAGATGAGGAAATATAATCCAGAGCATGGTCAGCTTTCGTCACACTTGCAATTTCACAGGTACCCAATGTGCTTTTAAAGTTCACTGACTGACAATCTGCCATCCCTAAACATTTCCTTAAACACTCTATCTCACTGCGAGTTTGAGAGATGCTGTAGGACTTGTCGACAAGTGCGTGATTTTTGAACTTAGTGAACGTTCTAAAACTGTATGATCCATCTGTGAATGAAATCAGTAACGATATTAAAATACTTGTCAATTAAAATATTAGGCCCTAATTGTAATGTTCGGCTTTAGTAACACTAAGGAACTTCCGATTACACAACAACTTACCCAGTGAGGCACAGTTATATTCGTAGTACCACGGTAGGCATGCGCAGACAAAGTGATTGAAAAGATCTGTACACGTTCCTCCATTTTGGCACGGACCAGACGCGCATTCGTCAATGTCTTAAAAAAAATGAATAAATATAGACAAAAGAAGTATAAGAATCAGGTTTTTTTTCTTATTGTGGTAACATAAAGGAAAAAATAATAGGAGGAAACAGAACTAAAGAAAACAAAAACAAATGCTACAAACAGCAATAGTAGTGGTAGTGGTTGTAGGCCTAGTAGCAATGACCAGGACAAAAAATGTAACAACAACAATAAAATAACAATAACATTATCAATAATATTTGTGATGACGAAGATAGGAATATTATTAATATAAATAATTATAATAATCATAATATATATTAATAATTATTTTATTTATACATGTTCATAGAGGTCATGCACTCGATATAAATCCATTGTTATAATTGGCTGCGTCGGTCAAAAATACAGGTAATAAGTAGACACAAAATCCTAGGTATAAAATTGCCGTAAAATTTATTTGAAACGAACAAAACATCAACCAGACTTTTGCGAAGGCCGTGATTTATAAATTCGTCCACATCTATCGTCGGGGAAATCGGCCTTCCAATGGAACATCTTGGTTAGATTATTATGATTATTACGCACCATATCTTTAAAAAGTTGGTTTGAGTAAGGGTATTGTTTTATCCCATACGACTTCAACATTAAAAAAAAACAAAGGTAAAACCTAAAGTCCAACCCAGACAGCGTCGTACGACGCAGCCCGACGCGTGTGAGTTAAACGCAGACGGGATGGTGTGCGTCGGTGGCAGTGGCGTCGTAGAATATTAAACATGCTTAATATTTCTCACAACGTCGGGCTGCGTCGGCCGACGCTGTCTGAGTTCGCCTTAATGCACAACTACATGACCAACATTAATTACATGCCCGGAATTCAGTAAAATCGTGTGCACAGTTTATGAATTTCTGTTTAAACAAACCTGGTCTAGGTCTACAATACACAAAAGAAATACATAAGCTAAGCCTGTCTATTAGAAGGATTACTACTTACACTGTTAATCAATAATCATATGATGTATTATTTTAACGTAATAATAATTTCTATTATTAGGCAGTGGATGAACACGGTACCGAAAACTATCTCGGTAATGATGAGTTGCCAATCCCGCCTTCTTTATCGTTACCGAGAACGTAATAATAATTTCTATTATATTAAATAGGCAGTGGCTATGAACAAGGTACCTTACACTATCTCGGTAATGTGAGTTGCCAATCCCGCCTTCTTTATCATTACCGAGATAGCGTACGGCACCTCACCTCTAGACACATCGATTACCTATTTCACAGTTTGTTCCTTCTGTGCCCGAGACACATTGACATGTGTATTGGTTAATCTCGTTTAGGCAGGCTCCGCCTTGTTGGCATGGGTCTGAAGCGCACTCGTTGACGTCTAAATAGAAAGATACGTGGAATTTTATACGGATTCTATAGCAAAATTGAGACCTGGTTCATATGACGTTCACC